GTGTACAGACTCAAAATGCTTTCCTAGTATGCCATCCCAAAGAAGCCATTGAAAAATAGGCAATTTGTATTTATAGGCCTTAATGGGCAACCCTATAGGTCATATGATAGACTCAAAAGTATGCACTTATAAAATATCATCATTTATTAAATCAATAAAAGAGATATTCAGTTCACTCATCCATAAGAACAGAAGAAAACTGTATAAAAATCTAAACCACATAAAAGTCCAAACAATTAAGGATCAGACTTAAATGGATCTCTCCATCTCCCTAAGAGCATTATTTAAACAGTTGTGAGTAAATCACCATTGATATTTCCAACTTGCATTTTATGGTTTAAAAAGCAGTCTTGTTCCAGATATATGTAAACATATAATTGATTGTCACACATTTTAAATCATCTATTGAGTTGTAAATATGGCTCCTTTTACATGGGAAAAAACTATAAGACATTTTAAAAAGAGAATATTTGACCATATTTCGTATAGAGCTAGAGGTGATCTCTCGACACCTGTTAGATGTAATTTTGCAAATCATCATTTTTCTTATTAGGCTATATTTTTTGTCCTTGATCATATTCACCCAGATCCGAGAGGGGGAGATATGGATAAGCAGAGCTTATGTTGTCAAAATAAATTGATTTGTTAGTTAAATGTCACAAAATATCTTGACTTAAATGAACAAATTAGCTTTAAGTCATTCCTCTAATATAATGTAGTTTGATATGTTATATAGAAAATCATATGGAATTTGTCTATATATAAAACAATAATATATTTATATGTACAAATCATATCTTTAATCTTTCTCTTGAAGATACATGAATTATGTAAAATTATAGGACTTTTTCATATTTGTTAATTATCTTTTGTTTTCAGAAAGTGTTCTCTTTATTTTTATAGGGGGCTCTCTGCTCTCCACTTCATCTCTGGTACATCTTAGTGACCCCCTGTTCTCTATGTAGCCTTTAGGCATCCTGGAATGAGATCCACATGTGCCTTGTTGTGCTCAGTGGGAATACCCCAGTGGGGGATATGTTTTGACATCTTTATCCCCACTGGTGGTTTCCCTTCCCAACTGACATGACCAAAGGGATGCACATAATCTTCAGTATATATTACGCTACAGAAAATGATCAGAGCCTGCACATACTACAGTTAATAATTAGAGACTGTGGGCATGCTACAGGAAATGGTCAAATACTGACACAATCAGGGTTATTCGCAAAAGGGTGAAGAGTTTGGAGAAGGCAGGAGAAGTGAACAATCTAGGGCAACATAGCTGAACTGGAAAGTGAGCTGAATTTGACAATTTTTCCAAATCAACTATGTTGTCCTAGATTGTTCACTTCTCCTGCCTTCTCCAAACTCTTCACCCTTTTGTGAATAACCCTGAATGACACATGTTGCAAAAGACTACTAGATAAGACTGCATTTACAGTCAGCACTCCCTACAGCCCTCCGAAAAATGTAATAGCACCTTAACATGTATTTGATACTCCTCTCAGTAAGATCCATTACACATTTCACAGAAAAAAAGAATGAAGAAAGTATGAAAAAATTAACCAAATCTAAAAGGTATCTAGTATTATCCAGTTTAATTAATATTTCCCTACGCTGTCCCTGAGTAAACACCTAGACAAGGAAAACCCTGAGGGCCACACAGAATTAATACCAAAGGGCCGCATGCAGCCCTTTGGACCCAATTTGGGCACCAGAGGGCTAAAAACTTACCATGATACACAGCGATCAGCATCCTTTTTTATGATGTTAGATGTCAAATGGGCCTGTCAGAGACCTGCTGCTTCCGCGTATGTGCCAAGTCCCGGGCCCCGTACTACGCTTGTGCGCATGCACGCGCCACAGATTGGACACGGAAAAACGTGCCAAATGGCACACAGGAAGTGACGCTCTCCAGCTATTACCTCCCCTATTTAAACTCAAAATCCGCACTAACTCAGCTTCTTGAATCATCTATCTAAAGATGGCCTGGTAGCCTCCCACACTGCCATACCGGGGACACTGCCAAAATTGAAAACAGGAAATGAAGCCTGTTTACATATAAGCTATCTGGCAGCTATAGATCTTAAAGACCCCTGATGTCTCCATAAAGAGGACCTGTCACACCCTTTTTGCTCTTTGCTTTGCTTCTTAGCCCCCATGTGTGATAACAATATAGTAAAGTGAAAAAAGTAAAATAAAAATTTAAGTCACACATAAAAAAGAATAAAAAAACAAAAAAAGTAAAGTCCCCAGCCCCACATACACGTGCGCAAGCATGTGTTGGGTGTGCATACATGCGAAAACGTCGATTGCGCCCATTACGTCAGAGTGAGAACAATAATTCTAGGATGATTATTTACTGATGACACTAAACTGATGAGTGGTAAAAGCTTTTAAAGCATTGCCTATGGTCAATTTTGGATATGGTAGTTTGTTGCGATTTCGCGGGTGCGTGCAATTTTAAGGCTTGACATGTTTGGTGTCTATTTACCCGACGTGACCCCATATTTTCTATTTTACCAAAAATTGGGTAATAATAAATGTATTATAACATAATGTTCAAAACAAACTGGGGTTTTTTTCAAAATTTTCTGTAATTTTTCCTTAATATAGTAAAAAGTAAAATACCCAGTTGTGATTAAATACCACCAAATAAAAGCTCTATCTGTTCTCAAAAAATGGTATAAAATTAATTTCAGTACGGCGTTGCATGACTAAATAAATGTCAGTCAAAGTACCGCAGCCCTGAATACTGAAAAATGGCCTGGCTGGGAAGGGGGTGGAAACACCTGGTCTTTAAGTGGTAAATAAAATAAAATGCTTTATAGATAGGAAATATATAGAGTCAAGTTTTAGGAAAGATGTTTTCCTAAAACAGCTATAAGATGTTTAAGGCTTTGAGAAAGCTGCTCAAAGTTTGTTGAAAGCTTTATAAATGCGGTAACACTGCTCATAAGACAAGCATTTACAAAGTGATGCCTTTGTGAACAAGGCCTGAGATGTTAAGTTGTGGTCAATTATAAATTCTCAGTTTATTGTATTATATATTTTGCTGTACACCATATACTTTGTATTTTGTGTAGCATACACTGGCACTGCTATATATGGACTGTACATTCATGCAGTTCCATTTTTTATAAAGTTAACTTCCATGTATGTTTTTGTCACTTGATGGCCATTAGTTTAACACTTCTAGAAATCATGGATTCAAATTATAGTAATATTAGAATGAGTTACTTACCCTAAGACAATATCTATCCAGTACAAAAAGAATCAATAGAATCACTCAAAGCGTATGTCAAGCCAAAATGAAAAAAAACAAAACAATGAGTGCATCTCTGCAATACATGGGCATTTCCTTGTGTATTTATTCCTATAAACATGTGGCAACTACAGAAAAATGCTCCTACCTTCCTTTTTTACATGACAACACACTGGGAAGAATTTATCAAAACTGGATCAGACAAAATATGGAGCAGTTACCTAGGGCAACCAATCAGCTTCTCTCTTCAGTTTGTTTAGTTAAAGTTTAAAAATGAAAGGTGCAGGCTGATTGGTTGCCATGCACAGCTGCTCCAGATTGTGTTTGCTGCAGTTTTGATAAATTCCCCTCACTGTATTTTTAGTTATGAATTTCATTCTTCATGCTGTTAGCCCTGACTACTTTATTTCTGATGGATTACAAAAAACACAGACCTCTCCTCACCCCCCCCCCCCCCCTCCTTTTTTTTATTTAAAAAAACACAGGCCTCCCCCCCCCCCCCCCCCCCATCTTTTTTTTTAAATTCAGTGGGACAAAAGGAAGCAAAAAAGAAAAGTTAATTGTTAGGGTTTGCATACACCTTAAACATATGAAGCATAGCTAAATCTTACAGCAGTCTAGATAGATAAATAGCACAGAACAAGCATCAAGAATTGTATATTTTTACATGTACAAATGCATACAAAAGGTAAGAAATACATATTATATTGTTATAAGAAGAAAGTTATAGTAGATGGCCCTTCAAATAGCACAATCATTGAGTCCATTCTTGAGCACATTCCTCTAAAGGAACTATTTTTTTCTTTGAAATGTTATGCTGTCAAAGTATTTTTTTTTTTTTGCTTAAAAATAATCAGTAATTGGTAGGCTGTCAAATTACGTATTTTTGTAAAAAAAAAAAAGAAACAGTAAATCCTATCTTAAGGTACACTTAAATACAAGCCAATCAAAATAAAACTTTTAAAGTGGCTTTTAAATAATGCAAGTAATGACATACAGAGTAACTAAGATGCCTTTAGTAAGAAATAGCAAACTGTTTTTAACTGTGTCATTTACTTCAATGTGTGAATCTCCATTTCTTAAGGTTGCAGAGAATCTTGTAACTCAAAATGTTTTCCTGTTGTGTCTGAGCAGATGAGGAATTATAAAGACTAATACAACAATTTAACGCTTCAGAGAAACAGTGTATATCATTACTGCTCTGTAGCCAAGCACGCTAATTAATATTTATTGCACCTGTCAAACCAGTAGCCATGGTCAATCCATTGCCTCAGCAGTTCAATGGGAGGCTGGGCACCATATTTCTCCTTGGCAGGCATGTTTAGGTCATCAACAAAGACAAAAGCTTGTTTCCCTGGTGGAGTACCGTACACCCTCTTCTTTTGCCTGTAAAATTAAATCATTAATTTAGTTCATGTTAATTTCAACTAACTTGTAAAACTGAAAAAAATAAAAATACTCAACAACTTCAAGTGTTTCCTAAGTTACATCATTGTTAGCCACAATTTAAGTCTCAGCAATCTATGACCTCAGGGTTTTATCAGATGTGCATTAAAGGTCACCTAGCATTGTGAGGCGGTGGTTATAAATCCACATGGAATTTAATCAAAGGTGGCAGGGCATTCTGAGGTAAATAAGCTTCCTGAACTATTGTAGCTGGAACCTTTGTTAAGCACTGACAAGAAAAGTGAATAGCAGGCGGTAGGATTAATCAAACGCTAAGAAATGCAACCAACAGACTTCAGTTTATCTGACAATGCAAGGAAAGGTTTTAATTTGTAAGACTTGAGGGTAATTGTTCTCAGGTACTTAAATGTTGTTTCTTTGCTGGTAAAATAGACAAATAAATGAAAAGTGAAGCATTTAAAGCAAAAGTATTATATAAGTTTTGAATTACTTGTTTAGTATTTTTATGTAACACAAAAAAACAAACACGGTAAACAATAAGCAGATTTTGTTTCCCTGAGGAAAAGGGAATAGTTGCTATTTTATTTTAATTGCCCTTTGGAAATTTTCTAATATCAACTGATAAATTTCTATCACTTGAAAAGCAAAAGATAAAAAACAAACTATTTACATTTGACAGCATTATTTGTAAAGTAGTAGGCTTTAAACAAATGTTTCCTGCATTATATAAAACTCTACTTCATAAAGTAATGTGCAGTTATCCTTTGTGATGCCTTTAGTAACCATTTTTGTTATGCTTTTGAACTAAGTACAGTATATGCTTGTTTTGCTTCTACTCAGATGTGAGCCCTACTCAGTTTACAACAATATAAACAGTACATGATATAATGAGATCTCACAAAGTAATAGAATAGAATAGAAAAACATGAAAGCAATACCTATCTAACACCATCTGTAAATATTATCAATTAGACATGTAAGCTGCGGGAAAATTCGGTTCGGATATTTTGTTATTTCAGAATTCGGATCCGAAATTCAATTGGGTTCGGGTTTCGGAATCGGACAAAATCCGAAGTTCATTAATTTCAGATGAGTTTACGAATATTCGTTGTGAGTAAATCAGAAAACCATATACAGATATTAATACTAAAGCTGAATCTCCTAGACCTGAATGGCATTCGGGATGCGAATTTCTGAATTGCATTTGGGAGCTCCCAGACTCGACTGGCATTCGGGCTCTGAATTTCCTACTTGCATTTGTAAATTCGGATCCCGAATGCCATTCTAGGTCTAGGAGCCGCAGCTTTGGTAATATACTGTATATACTAAGCACACATTTTCAAAAATTCATGTTCAGACCCATTTGGATGCATTACACCGAAAAACACATCTAACTAGCTAGAAAAGTCACATGTCCGATTCAGTTTAGTTTTTGAACGAAATTCGCCCGGGATCAGAAATTCGGATTCGAACACATTCGTATGCATTGGGATTCAGAAATTCGTCCACATGTCTATTATCAATGCACTCTGACCTATGTACCCCAAACTGTAGAACTAGGAGAATTGTGTTCAGGGTACATACAATAAAAGATGGGGTTGCTGTTTATGAATGGGTGGCTCTCTGTGAGAACAGCTGGGGGTGAAAGTACTGTCTTACTGTTTTGTAACTAATAACCTGTCAAACCCACAATGACTTGTATTCAGGGCTGGATTTCCCACAAGGTTAACCAAGGCCCAGCAGGGAGTAGAGGGGCAGCAGGGGTGTGGAATACCTATCTCCCAACACCCGGGACATGCCGTTGTTTTCTACATTTAGCCCTGCTTTAGGCACGCAGGGCTAAATGTACAGCGGGGAATCCGCCGCTTGTTTTGTACAAGTGATCTCAGTGATGTTGCCAAGATCACTTGTATGCAGCCTGCAGGTCTGCCATTCTCCATTGGGGGGTTTGGCGGGTAGGGGGGTGCTTTGAGACACCTGGCCTTGTGGCAGCAGAGAGACTAAATCCAGCCCTGCTTGTATTGGAAAGTTAAAACCAAACTCTGATCCCAGTACTCCCTTCCCTCAAGGCCCCCCTTCTGTGTGTTTTTCTTGTTTTTTAATATTCTTAACTTTTTCTTGACAATGGTGAGCAGTGCTGATAGACACAGCTAAAATGAAGTGATGTCATCAGTGAGGCTCTCTGCACCATTATACTGTGAATAAAGAGAACCATGTTAATGCCCCCTTATGAGGCAGGTCCATAACACCCTGCACTCACAGTAGTCCACAGTCTTGTGTGTTGATGGACACATCGGCATAGCTCTGGATTAAAGTAGATATTGCAGCCTGTGTTGCTTTTTTTAATTTTTAACACCTGCCGGGGTCTATTTTAGTTTTTTTTTTTAAATTGCCCAGAGTTGTTCTTTAAGTGGTGAAGGGGTAGTTCATATTTCTATAGAGTATAATAGCATGCACCACACTTCCTTTTTTTTAAAGTGATACTTAGATTGATTGTACCATTATAAATATAGGGTATTATTGCCAACACTACACTGCCTATTTTTTAAAGTGACACTTGGATTGCTTGCACCATTATAAATATAAACATGAGAGAAAATATAGTGATCACACCCAGTCAAATTAATTTTTTTTAAAAAGAAGTTAACGCAGCCTCTGCAGGGAAGAAACACGTTTCTGCAAATTTTATATCACATGTACAAAACCGACCTGCAAAGACCAAAAGCTCACATTCTTTAAGACAGTTCTAATTTTTTTGATACGTTCCAGTGCTTCTTTGTGTGATAATGTATTTGTGCAAATAAACCACAGGATCTCACAAGACGTGACTGACTGAACAAGCTGCAAGACAAAAGTCTCTAAGGATGGGATAAAGCTATATTATTTATGATCATACATGCATTAACAACCCAGCAGTACAGTGTTGCCAAATTACTTAATAGTTTATGAGCTGATGTGACTAGTTCTTTTTACACTCCAGACTTTTTTCGTTGTTTCTAAATGGAACTTTTAGAAAATAACCTCAAAGAGTTTTAATCCCTTCTACAAAAATAACACGATATACAAAATATAGAGAGCCATTGATGTAGAAAAACATAAATTTTTTAAAAATCATCAGCCTGTTTATGCAACTTGACAATTTTTTACATTTTCTATAGCACTATAGCTATATCTAGTTTGAGTGAAAAGCAACAAAGACCTGAGCCAAGAGAATACTTTAAAAAGAACTGCTCATGACTGGGCTTATACAAGTTGAATAATCAGTCTTATATTGATATTATTGCACAGGCTTTCTTATAAAAGTTTTCATACATTCCCTACTTTCTTGTGCAGCTTATTTAGCTAGAACAACCCTGGATCCAAAAATCAGAGGTGAGAGGCCTCCTGATGTTGACAGTTGCAGCCATATGAAGTTCGTTATTGTAAGCTGATAAAACACGATATCATCTAGCTCTTTGAAGAGAACCAGTCACAGCTGAGCCTAATGTAGGTATTTAATATTCAGTAAGCAAAGGATATACTGTTCAAGTTTATGTATGAAAGATGTATATGTGAAGTCTTGTTCCCTAATTTATCTAACTTTGACTCAGTGGCATTTTTGTCCCTCTCACCCACAGCAAAGATGGTTGCCTTGGGTGGTAGTAGTGCTGCATCTGTATACGTGAATGGGCACACACACAGACAGTTTGCTTGGTAATGCAGAGCCCGTTAAACATGCAGGCTCAGTATCAATGATGCTGACACTGTTTGTGTAACAGGTGCAGGGGCTGGTCATGGAGCTCAGTAATACTGAGCCTGTGATTTTACCAGACTTAGGGGTCTATTCACAAAGCTGCCGAGGGCAGCCGAGTGAATGACCGATCAGAAGTGAAGTGTGCCGAACACTGTTCAGCTATTCACTTCAGGCTGGTACGGCTGATTTCAGCCGTACATCGGCTGAAATCAGCCGTACATCGGCTTGCTTCGTGTGGCTTCGGATCAGCCGAACATGCTCAGCATGTTCGGCTGACCCGAAGTGCAGAAGGAGTTCGACTCAGCCGATCCAACATCTGGATCGGCTGAGCCGAACCTCCGGCAGGCTTCACACTGCTGTTCGGGCTATTCTGAAAGATCCCGAACAGCAGTGAGAGAATAGCCGAATGCCGCCGAGCGGCATTTGGCTCGGCTGTTCTGCTCGGTCCCAGAATAGACCCATTAGTGTTTCTGAGCTGCACTGAGAAGGTGGTGTACAATATAGACGCTATGGTGTGAGGCAGCCACTTCAGTTGATCTCATTGACAGTGTGGCCCCTTACCTCTTTTCTACTATTCCTCTAACTGAAACAACACAATGAATGTGGAGTTGAAAGCCTCAGAAATAATTGAGTTACACTTCAACAACACTTTGCAAACTGCTTAAATTATAGAAGCATCAATATTCATTTCACAATGGATACACAAGGAACATTCAAACATAAGGGCATAAGTATGCAGTATTCAAAAAACATAAATAGTAAAATCAGTCTGGGGGTGATGCATTACCTACTACTCTTCCTAAGTTCAACTTCATATGACAGCATTGTTAATTTTTTACTACTTTCTAACAAAGCTTCTAAGGTTTGATTTTCCTATCTTTTTGTTGCCTCAAGCTGTAATACTTTTCTGAACTCTCTTCACTTTTTTTTTAATTTTTCTCCTTTGAAGAATTCATTTTCACCTGTATTATTCATATGCTTCTACTTGTACTCACAGAAAGGATCAGATCTCATATGGATTGATGCTATAGCAAGGTCCACTCAAAAGAGAACATCACTTTAATAGACCAATATGTTAATCTTTACTACTTGTTAATAAATTTGGTGAGAGCCCAATGTTTCATACTGTTAAGAGTATTGTGCTCTGACTGAGTGGCCACCAAGAAGAACATATATTGCAGTAGAGTTATCCTGGATTGCTTAAATATACATTTTAATCAGGTAATTTTCTTCACCGAATGTTCAT